ATAGTCTAATGCTGTTTATAATTAGATTAGCATCTGAAAATTTCACAAAATCCAAATTCTTTTTAAACAAGCGAAGACGATTTGAATAGTCAAAGGCTGAAGACTATTTCCTTGGTTTATATTCACGTGCGATCGATTAACTCTAGCAACTTGCGTTTTATATATATATATGTATCATTGGTTTATTATAAAAAGGGGATTTTCAATGTTCCCTCAAGAAGGCTACCAGATTTCTGACTACACCGAGGCCAGTTGAATTTCCTGTTCATTTGCCAAATGCATCTCTTTGAAAAGAAATCAATCTTTGCATACCTATGGGTGATTCGTAACGGAGCACAGGCGACACGTTTCTTTGCCGATCAATCGGACATCAAAGAATATAGAAAATATTAATATATATATAGTATATATGGATATTAGAACACACGACGAAGCCATTAGAGAAATCCACGTGTAAATTTCATTCAGAGTATTTAAGACATGCATAAGATTTTTCAGATCTGTCGATTCTGCTTTATTTACTTTCATATCCGAAACTAAACTAAGTGCTTTATAAGGCATTAAGAGAGACTTTATTATCCAAAATGATTTCTTATGAATTCTTTACCAAAAGAAATTTAGCTTGAAGATGGAGCAGAGCTTGGTACTTTAATTCAATTTAATTCAAATAATTATATTGAAGGTTTCGGCTATTGTTTTGAAACATGAGGACTCTTATGTAGCGTTGCAATCATACTTTTAAATGAAAAATTATATTTATGCTCTACTTTTGTATCGAGCACTATTTGTTAAAAATAATAACAAAAATACTAAAGAACTTTGTATTATTTACCTAACGAGTTCTTTCCTATTTTCTATATATTTTTTTACACACATGCACACACACACATATATACACACACACACACACACACACACATATATATATATATATATATATATATATATATATGAGTGAATCATTGAAGTCAAAACTTAGAGGTGACAAGCTGTTTCATGCTAGACGCAATCGTCAGGCCAGACATCTAAGTGTTGACTTCAATATTAAGTTTTATATTTACACACGCTCTATCTTTGATATTGAGCACTTTATCCCATAAATACAGCACACCATAAGACTATATTTCTTCACACACAAACACAGACACTATATATATATATATATATATATATATATATATATATATATATAGCTGGCCACTCGTATTCGAGCATAACAGTCTACTAAGGTGGTTAATGAATCCCTATTTGAGACGCTTATTCAACTTCCACATAGACCACCTTTGGTTTATACGGCAACTATACTGAGCAGACCGACCTCTGGGAAAGAACGGATTAGCTAGGGTTTGAACAAAACCAGCACGCTCATCCCTCGGTCCCAATGAACGCTATCGACGGCCCCCAAGTGTTCCGTCTACCAAATTTTACTCACAAGGCTTGGGTCAACCGGTCTTATGTTATGATTTTCAGGCAATTTCTAATAGTGCCGCGTGCTGGGATTGAAACCTCCAGCCCGATAACATCAAGAAGTTTCCTTCCTGACAAATTGACTGTGGTGAAATTCGAACCCCGTTCTGCGAAAGTTCTAACCATTCAGCCACGTGCCCATAACTCGGCCTTATATAAGCATATATGATTAATATATATTTGAGTAGCAACCTTTCTTTTAAACATCTATTATTCACTATAACGGTCAAGGTAAATTTTTATTTATTTATTTATTTTTTCAAAAGTTCTTGAATTTTTTGTGTTTGATGGGTGTGAGGGAGTACAAAATTCTCCATAGAGTCCGACGTTCCAAAACTTTTCAGCCAGCTACTAAGGCACGGTAGAGTAATGGATAGCAGCTAGGATTGAGGAATCGGAGAGCCGAGTTCGAATTCCAGTCGAATCCATTACATTCACTTACGTGTTAACACCCTTGGGAAAGGTGTGAATCCTCTTTCTTCTCCCTCCAGATATGGGTAAATAGCAGGACAGACTGGGTTCTATAGCCTTGGTTGGCAACTGGTCTAGCAGAAGGAAAACTCTGAATTCAAACCTGCTCTTAGAGGAGGGTGAATGGAGTCTCTCTGAGCCTTGGTTGGCAATCCATTTAGGGATGGTGTCACGATAAAAAGCACCCTTGATAGCCCTAGCGAAGCATCAAAAATTCAGCTATTTGACAAGATTATGAACTACACCAATCAAAGCATTAGTGAGTTCAATCTCGGCTGAGGCCGCAAGATGATGATGACTAAGGCATTTTCGAGGAGGTTTTGTTTTGGTGTCGTTAATTTCTGTTTACACTGTCTGCGACTTGTTTTTTTGTGCCATTATGAATACTAGTAGGAACGTTTGTTCAAAGCCTTCACGTGGTGAGTCGTGTGGGCGTCTTTCTATTTTTTAAATAGTTTCAGCACTCCACTCCTATCATTAAACAAGGTGAGATTGATAGTAGGAGAGATATGTTTAATATATAGTGCCTCTCTTATAGCGAGATAATAATTTGGTTTCGAACAGAATTCTTCTTAAGAGTATATGTAGAGAGCTCTAAGTGCCACGCAAGGCGTCTACTCAAGATGGTGGTTGTGTGACCGACATGTGAAAAGTGTATATAAATATAAATATATATATATATATATATATGTATAATTATTTATCTATTATATGCGCGGTACTTATTAGAAAGCGCTCAATATCAGAGATGGAGCTAACATATTTGGTTGGATAGATGTGAGTTTGTGACCCTTCATTTTTAAATTTCCAGTTTGTCTGACGATCTCCAAACCAGTCTGTCTGGCGATCGAAAGCGTGAAACCCAGGGTCACAAACTACATCTATCCAACCAAATATATATATATATATATTATAAATTCATATATATATATATATATATATATAATATGAACATTGAAGTCAACAGTCAGAGGCGACAGTCTATTTTTGCAACACGCAATCTGTCGCCTCTGAATCTTGACTTCAATGTTCACTTTTATATTTATATTACATAGATTGTTTGACATTGAGCCCATAAATATAAATATCACAACTTAAAACTATAATTCTTCATATATATATATATATATATATATATATATATATATATATATATATATATATATATAGATAGATAGATATATATATATATATATATATATATGGAATATCAAGAGGATATAGATCCACGGAGATCTCTATGCCAAAAGTGAGTAAATTAAAGAATATCAAACAGTTAATATCTAATAGATGATACTTTTTATTTCATGGGAGCTCTAACAATGCAGCTCTTACCCTTCAGGACCTACAAACCTATATATATATATATATATATATATATATATATATATATATATATATATATATATATATATATGTATGTGTGTGTGTGTGTATGTCTGTGTGTGTGTTGTGTGTGTGTCTGGCGTATTTTCCTTGTCTGTCATATTCATCGAAACATGTATACGAATGAATATAATAGAAAAATGAAACCTTTCCTTTACCAACTCGCCTCGTTCTCTGTCTTATTTTATCAAAGTCAATTAGCCTCTGAGATCGCCTGTAGAGAATTGTTACAAAAATGGATCTTTAAACAAAACAATATTTGATCAAACGGATTAAGCTGGGCTCTTACAAAAAAAGAAATCAATTAAAAATTTAAACGTGCTGTGCTCTGAAAACTGAGCCAAAAAAAATCAACATTTTTTTTTTTTTCACAAAATTCTTAGCTATTTTTACGCTAATACACTACTCGTATTGTCATCTGCAAAATTGGCTTGAATGTATGAGAGAGGTCCCGAAATTTCGAGTTTGAATATCAGTTATGTTCTGTGCGTGATACACGCTTAGACGATCTGTATCTTTTGATACATGACTGACGAGGCAGTGTTTTTGTAGTTTGCCATTTCTTTCTTAGGTAGACCAGGTTACAGAACTCTGTGTGTCCTGTAATTTACCCATAGCTGGGAGGAGAAAAAGAGGATTACTATCTTTCCCAAGGGTATTAGGACAATGGATTCGAACTCAGCTCTCCGATTCCTCAGTCGAGCCGGTATTCATTACTCCACCATACCTCCACCGAGCCTGAATAATATCCCTTTTACAGGGAATTAAAATTATTTCATTTGCATGCATGGTTATATAGATGGTGAAACCGCCGCTTTTACCCTAATTATTTTTCTTGTATGTCCCACTTGGGGAACTCCTTCCCGATTTCGTTCTTTCCTGATGAAGACAGTCTTCCAAAATTTAAATATAATGTCAATCGGCATCTTCTGCATGGTCCCTGTTCTTGTTTGTCTTTTCATCACTCCTCTCAATTTTCTGTATTATCTTGCTCTTTCATTTTTACTTTCGCTATTTGTTACCCGTGCGTTCTCGTGACATAGTCGCTTTGATTGGTGTGAAACTATTTAAAAAAAAAAAAAGCAACCTTTGAGCATTGCTTTTCTTGCTAAAATCTTCGACCTGGTGCTACAGATGAAACATTTTGAAGACCAAAACAAGCAAACACACCACGTTGTAAAGCTTATATTCCCATTATATATATATATATATATATATATATATATATATATATATATATATATATATAAAAAAAACCTTCTCTGTTAAGCGTCGTTCGGCATCTCCCCCCCTGAAATAGCATGATGTCTCATAAAATCGATTTTTATGGCGGCTTCGTCAAAATCGAGTTAGCCAGTAAATGAAGCCAATTTCCTTGAGAAATGGCATTTCGAGCGAATGGGATGAGACAACGTTGAAAGTACGCTGACGTCATTAGGCAAGCCATTTTTTTTTTCGTTATTATTTTTTCTTCGTGTTCCCTATTTAATACCATACTCAAAGTTTTTACACCTTTTTCTTTCATTTTGGTTATCATCATTTCTCTCCACCACAAGTAGTTTTCTGCCACATCCGTCTCATTAACTCTTCCTTCCTTTCTCATTAAACTTTGTTGTTGTTTTTTTTTTATTTCTTCTTCATTTACTTTATTCTTCGCCATATTTTTCATCATCAGCATGTATTTCCTTTTTGACTTGTTACAAGTAGTTTTCTTATCTAATGCAATATTGCGGGTTACTTTTTTTTTTTTTTCACGAAGGTCTTTTCAATATATTTCCAACGCACCAAACCTCTTCCCTATTCTCATTTGGTTGTTTTTTTCTCTCGCCATTTCTCCTTTTTTTCGTTTTCACACCGTCCTTCATTTTGGGTTTATATTTTGTTTATGGCTTTTGATTTTTACTACATCTTTCTTCTCATCTCCGTCTCTCCTTCTCTTTCTATACCTCTTTAAACCTCATCTTTTCTTGGTGTAATTATCGCCCTTTTTTTTTATCTTCTTTTCTTCCTTGTGCTTTTGCAATTTAATTTCCTTCAACGCCCGACCTTCTTTTTCATTTCTTTGGCATTTTCTTTGCATTTTTTAAAGATCTTTTTCATTTCTTATCGTTTTTTCACAAGCTCTTTTTTTCAAGTTTATTTTTTTTATTTATTCTAAGCATTTACTCTTCTTCTCCTCTTCCTCATTTACCTCTTCACTAACCTCTTCATCTTCGCTCTTTTTTCCTGTATATTGTATTGTTGTTGTTGTTGTTCTTCTTCTTCTTCTTCGAAAGGCTGCGCTGTCACATGTTTTATTTTGGTTAGGTTTGTCAGGATCCCTGCATAATTCACTATTCCCAATATTATTCTCCTTCGTAATGTTTTCTTTTTTTTAACTGCAATCGTTTTGATTCAAATAATGTCATTATATTATTATTGTTACACTTTTTACACTGATTATTTCTTTTCAGGGCCTTGACGTTTCCTTTCAAAAGCTATGAATATTCTATCCTTCCTTCCTTCCTTCCTTCCTTCCTTCCTTCCTTCCTTCCTTCCTTCCTTCCTTCTTTATTTTTCTTCCTTCCTTCCTTCCTTCCTTCCTTCCTTCCTTCGTTACACCTTTTTTTTTTTCCTTCCTTTCTTTTCTTCCTTCCTTCCTTCGTATACACCTTTCCTTCCTTCCTTCTTTATATTTCCTTCTCTTTTTTTACCATTCCTTCCTTCTTTCCTTTTTTAAATCCTTCCTTCCTTACATTTGTTCCTTCCTTCCTTCCTTCCTTCCTTCCTTCCTTCCTTCTTCCTTCCTTAATCCATTCCTTCCTTCCTTCCTTCCTTCCTTCCTTCCTTCCTTCCTTCCTTCCTTCCTTCCTTTTCCATTCCTTCCTTCCTTCCTTCCTTCCTTCCTTCCTTACTCCATTCCTTCCTTCCTTCCTTCCTTCCTTCCTTCCTTCCTTCCTTCCTTCCTTCCTTTTTTTCCTTCCTTCCTTCCTTCCTTAAATCCATTTCCTTCCTTTGGATTCCTTCCTTCCTTCCTTCCTTCCTTCCTTCCTTCTTTTTTTCCTTACTCCATTCCTTCCTTCTTTCCCTTCCTTACTCCATTCCTTCCTTCCTTCCTTCCTTACTCCATTCCTTCCTTCCTTCCTTCCTTACTCCATTCCTTCCTTCTTTCTTTCCTTCTCTTCTTTACTCCATTCCTTCCTTCCTTCCTTTACTCCCTTCCTTCCTTACCCCATTCCTTCCTTCCTTCCTTCCCTTCCCTTCGCTTCCTTACTCCATTCCTTCCTTCCTTCCTTCCTTCCTTCCTTCCTTCCTTCCTTCCTTCCTTCCTTCCTCTCTCTTTTCATCTTCTTTTGTCAACATGCTTTTAATCCTTTCATCTAATATAGCCGACAAGCCCGTGCTTCTTTCAAAATGGATAAACCACTCCATCCAACTCTGTTAATTGTCCGTTTTTCTCTAACAGTGAAGAAGAAAACCCATATCCCCGACTAAAAAAAAAAACATTACTTCGATACATTCCTAATGAGTGATCGTTAGATTAGACACGAACAATGTCTGAGCAGTCATCACTTTCATAATTAGTAAATTGATGCAAGGATTCGATGATCTGTCAATAGTATTATTATCAATGTGATTAAATTGAAAAGTTCCTAATAACAAAATTAATTACTCCCTTATTACTGTCACCTCTCGTCTAAAGCACCAATTAACTGCTTAACGTGGAGCCATGATGGATTTGATTACAAGGGACCTAATTTGGGGTTTAAAATTGCAGTGGCAAAAACTTTAAATGGCTGTGCTGTGAGATAAATGGTTTTGTAGGCTTTCAGTCTTCTTTATGATTGATCGTGCATTTTCCTGAACAGACTGAAGCAAGCCAGTTCGAAAATAATTTCTAAATTGAGGATCAGCACCGTTTTTTAGAGAAAGTCTCATCCGGAAGTGCATATTAGATCATCATTAACATTTTTGTTCACGTTTGCAGTCAGAAAATACAGCCAGACCTGCAAATTACAAATTGGAGATACTAAAATCAAGCAAAGAAAGCAATTTAAATTTCTGGAAAAGCTTTTCAGATATGATGGAATGTGTGACAATTAAAGCCGACGTGTATTGGAATAGCGAAAGAGGCCTTCAAAAAGTTAAGGAAAGTATTAAGAAACGGAACAATTTCGTTAGAAACAAAGAAATGCATAGTGAACTTCAAGGTAATATGGGCTTTCCGATATGGCAATGATTGCTAGATGATTTCCCCGTAAATGAAGAAGAAACTTGAGGCTACAGAGCTGTAGCTCTACAGAAGGATACTGAGAATAGCATGGACAGAAGTTGAGCAAAGATGACGTTTGAGAGAAAATGGAAACAGAATGGACACTTATATTTAACATCGGAAAAAGGCAATTGGAATATTTAAAGCACATGATAAAGAAGGAGAGCTGAGGAGCTTTGATACTCACAAGACATATTGAAAGGAAGAGAGGGAAAGGAAATCAGCTCAAAATGCACCTTTTGGCAGGAGAGGATTTTCGGAGGGATAAAAAAAGACGAACATTGGTAAGTGATTCAAAGGACCGGAAATTGTGAAGAGCCATGATCGCTAACTTCTTGAAAGAACACGACTCAGAGAAGAAGGACGAATGTATATTGGCAGTGAAACACGTGGGAGTCAAATACATGATTTTACTTTAAATTATAATTGAAGAAATATAAACGGGATAATCCCTCGGTTCGACCGACAAAAATGTATTCTGATTTATGGATATTTAACAAGATTTTGGAAGTATATCCAACCGGAATTTCCTGAAACTTCACCTGGAACAATATTATCTTATATATATATATATATATATATATATATATATATATATATATATATATATATATATATATATATATATATAAATTAACTGATTTAAAATATGTTTTTTCATTTAATTTATAATATTAATGCTCTGTAAATTTACATTGAGCAATATTTTGTAAAAAATAAAAATATCAACAAGAACACCGGATTACATATCTTACTGTCATTTCTTTTTATTTGAATATATATATACATACATACATATATATATATATATATATATATATATATATAAAAAGGAAGAGGTTATATAAGTTTCAACGAGAGAAAATTGTGTTTTTATGTGATTTAAAAAAATATTATGCTTTATTTTTAAATATATATTTTAATTTTCTCTTTTATATATATAAATATATATATATATATATATATATATATATATATATATATATATTCCAGTCGAATCCATTACATTCACTTTTGCATGTGCTAATAAAACTTGGGAAACGTGTGAATCCTATTCTTCTCCCTCCAGCTAAGTGGTAAATAGTTAGGACAGATAGCGTTCATTCCTTGGATGGCAACTGGTCAAGGAGAAGGACAACTCTGAATTCAAAACCTTCGATGGTTGGGGACCTCGTCCCCGGTCGCAGCGCCGACTGTGACGTTCTATCCTGATCTACCACGGCACCAGTTGTGACGTCCCCAAACAGCACCAATTTTGACGTCCTCGCCGCGACACCAGCTGTTCGCTCCTCGCTGCTCCGTTCGGGTGTCGCTGCTTCAAACGTGACGTCCGCCTGTCGCGTCAGTCGTGTTGTCTCGTCCTGTGACGACCAACTGGCTTGGTATCGGTCGCGGCACCCAAATGTGACGTTCTAACCTTTTGGTGATTCGGGTGGGAATCTGGTTAGATTTGATATCAGCCTCGTCGTTCCCAACTCGCTTCCAACGCCTGGTTACCAAGGTTACTGCATTCATCTCCAGTCCGCCTACCCACGTTGTGAATTGATCTTAGGCAGACGAGATCAAACAGTGCTTGGGGCCGTAATGCAAACTGAGTTCAACGGGGATGATACTACACAAATATGCATAAAATAAAAATAAAATGAAAACTCAAAAGTTCAAAGCATCAAAGAAAAAGGTAACTAACTTTATGTCTAGTTGTTCGATACATAGGACTGCATCTATCTCCCGACCCGTTCTGTGGATTGTGACACGTTGTTTCCGCTAGGCAGTTTTAACGCTTCAAGTTGTTTGCTCTCTAAGAAATTGGTGTTTCGGTGTGTCTTTGGACGAAAGTCGAAAAATTATTTCGGTGGTCTGGTTCTAAGTCGCTCTTCAAAATAATTGTTTTGGGTTGAAGAGGAGTCCGGAATTTTGCGTCAAATCTTGGTCAGCTATCTCGAGGCGGCTTCAACTCTGAAACTCAACTCTGAACTGGAGCCTGAAACTGATTTCTGCCTGTTGGGCCTGCCTGTTGGGGCTTTTTTATTGACGCCGACCAAAACCGGGGTGGGTCTGTTGGCGTCGTTGGGTTCCTCGATAATTCTAAATACATATCCACCTCTTTTTATTTCTGGTTAGGGATTTTCCACTTTTTTCCATTTTTGGGAACCTTTCCTCCTCCCACTTTCTCACCATACCTCTGAGGGCGTGAACTGCCTTCCCCACTTCTTTGCAGCAGCTTCTCATATTATACTCTGGATGGGGCGTCGACAGCCTTCTTCGTGCGTCACGTGATCACCACTCGGCCAATGAGGTCTTGGTCGGGTATCTTTCCTTCTCATTCGTGCGTCACGTGACCACCACTTGACCAATGATGTCTTAGTCTGGCGTGAACAATCCGTGGCTTTGTTTCGGGAAAAAAAAATATCTTGCTTAACTTAAAAAAAAATATCTCTTCTCTTTCCCTTTTCTTCCGCTTAAATCGCCGTTATCATTTCTCTAGCCACGAACGGACAATATGACAACTCTTGTTCTACACGTGGTGTTTGTCAGGTATTTTATCGCTAATTTATCAGGATGGGTGGTCTTCTTAACATGGCTTCAAAAAAGAAATATCCCCAAAGTTTTCAGTCAGTCTGTCGCCTCCAAGGAAGAAAGAAAAACACTTCTGGGTCCCCATTCATTTTACTTCGGTACATATTCCTGATAACATAATTTTATTATCGCAGGCCAAAGTTGTTTCGTTGAAAAAAATTCGGTCAGCGGCACTGCTTGTGTGGCATTTAATTTTTCATATCTGTCCAAAGTCCTTTTTAGTGGCCTGTTTCTCGTCACTTATCGAAATAGCATTTTCACTTGAATTTTTCCCTGGCCAGTGGTCCAGCCGTTCGTTTACGCACCTAGATAACACAGCCGTTATCAAAACACATCTGATTCCTTCTTTCTTTCCCTTTCTTTTTTTTTTTACTCAGAAATTCCCTGTCATTGTAATGACACCCTTTTTCATTTGTTACTTATCAATATTTTCATTGTCTCTTAGCCGTGTGTGTGGCTGCTTATCACCTACGATTCGGCTCGCCTTTCTTTCTGCCTTATTTTCTTTCTCTTCCTTTCTCTGCCTCGTAAATTGTGCCACAGCAGTAGTTTTAGAAATTCTTTAGCCTCGGAGGATTTCATTCTTATAAAAACACTACCTATGCTTTTTTGAAGTGATAGCAGAGTACTGGTCAACTGTATGCAAATAAATCAGGCGCCATTCTAATGGATTCGGAGTTATTTTTCCCTTAGAATTGCTGCCAAACATGTCTATAGAGTTATGTTTTCACTGGTATATTAGACCTTAAAAGGAAAGAGAGACATATCTTTCCGAACGTATGCGCTAAAGGGAATCGAAGGAACATCGGTGGAATTCCAACTGAACGAGGATCACTCGATGTACCATGTCTCATTAGAGCGTAGTCGATAAGAACTCTGAAATGCTTACAGACTTCTTTGAATGTTGGTTCCTCAAATTATGCAAGGCGGTTACTTGATGTTTACCCCTGTTTCTTTTGTCTCAATGTGTCCAGTGCTTTTATCATTATCTTTCCTCTCCTTTCTATGCCGTTTCAAACATCCTTCTTACACGCATAATATGCTCATGCTTCCTTCAAAAGTCCTAATGGAGAAACATATTTTGTCCACTTTTCGAATTCGTTGTCAATTTGAATGTTTATAAATTGGAATGTTTATGAATTAAATCACA